GCAGGTGTGGTGACCCCACTGCAGTGGTTTGTTTCAAACTTACCTCAGATCCCCTACCTCTGCCCTTGGTGTGACTGACTTTCCCTCCTTCCTATCAGTAACACGTTCCTCTGGATCCACTTGTGCTGATGGACAGGCCTCTGATAGGTTTCCTGTTCTGTCTCTGGCTGGCCCAGTGTGTTTGACACAAAGATTGGGATACGGGGAGGGCGGGGGGCGGAATGAACCCTTTCTCCCTGCAATAAACATGAAGATTCCATTTGTACTTTCCTTTTGAAATCTGATCTCTTTACCACCACTTTAGCGCAAGACCCAGGGACAGAGCATGGATGTGTTCAGGGGTTCTAAAAGTCTGGTCAGGGCTGCTCCTCTCTTTGTACAATATGTTCACCACTGATCAGGTTCCATAGACCTGTGAATATGTTTTGTGGAGCCAGTCTGTATATAGGAGATTGCATCCCTGCTTAATACCCTCCAGTAGAAGATGGCAAAGGAGACTCTTAGCACATACAGTCTCATACCCCACGTTTCTCTGAATTTCCATATGCGACAGTAGGTGGTGTCTATGCTCCCAGAATGTGGAGGTCTTGAATCTCTCTAGATCAGAATTGAGGTGTCTGGGCTCCCCGATATATAAACTATGGTCTCAAACCTTTCACAGAGCCTTTTCTCTGTGTGTGTGCTTGCATATATGTAAGCCGTGGAAATGCGATGGGATTACAAATCTGTGCCCAAGTCAAGAGGAAACACCATTCTTACGAGAGTTCAGATCTGTACATGTCTTGGGATCCTTCTTTGACTTAGCTTTGTTTGAGTGAAGTTTCAGTTGAAGGCTTTTACCACTGAGTTTGGACAGTGCTAAATGCTTCTCTGGTCTGAGCAGTGTAGATTACTGCTCTGACATATTGAGGTTGGGGCATGCTTTTGTATTAAAAACTGTTACCTATCCTCATTCTGCTAATTCATGAACTAATCATTTTCCCAGTTGTGCTTCTGCAGCGCCATGAAGGCAGGTTATCCACATAGGTAAGGGTTTTATAGGTTTTTTCCTCTGAACTTCTTGTTGAGACAGCACTTGCAGCTCCCGGGGCTGCAGACGAAGTGCCTCGCTCATACCTACCTACCTGTTGGGTCTTTGTGAGTGGAATTAATGTTTGTACATTCCCTGGCAGATGGAAATTGCCTGAGATTCCAATTCTTAACTCCCCAATCTTATATCACTGTAGCTCTGTTGACTTCTGTGGAGTTATTCCTGATTTCTGGGAGAGCAGAATCAGGCCCTGAGGAATTAGAATCAGGGTGGTGAGCCCCAAAGGACCAGTCTTCAGCTGGAGGAATAGTGCCTGGGATATGGGCTTCAGCATAGAATGGGGGAATACCTGGGGCTCCGAGAGGTAAGGGGGATCTCAATGTGAGTTCAAAACTAGATAGCAGAAACTCAACATCAGGGTAGTTTATCTTCTAGTGGGAATGTCTTATATGTCAGCCTGACAAACAAATCTTCTCTGCCTTACTGTCTATAATCTGCTCCATCAGAGAACTAGTAGATACTTGGGAGGAAGGGGAGGGAACCTGGATAAATACATAATAGCCCAGATCCTTGGTCTTTGTTTAAATTTGTTGTCTCTCTTTCTCCACCTGTAGTAGGTGAAGCTTTTTTAGGTCTTCCTGTGCGTATGGGCTGACACTGATAAAATGGAGGGACGTCATTGTAGTGTCTGTCATTCCGTGTCCCCCTCCCCCAGTGCTTGGTCTACATTCTGTCATCCACTCCGTCTTCTAGAAGGCCAGTGTTTGTGACTTCCTTTCCAGGGCACGAATATGTGGGCAGCTCCTTCTCTGATGGGGTTAAGCAATGTCCTATTTCTCTAAGGTCCTGTCTCCTGGTGCAGGGATTTCCATGGGCTGGAAGGGGAGCTGTCAATGGTTCCTTTCTAGTTCAGTATGAGAGCCACTTCTCTATTGCAATCTGCAGAAATATTAATGCAATAACCATGCAGCACTTTTTCACGCATCACAAGAGAAGTGTTCAAGGAGATTTTTATTTTTATAAAGAAATCCTCTACAGAAAGATTTTAAAATAGGAAATGTATAACTGCAGAAGATAATAGATTCATATATTGCACTGGACCCAGTGTGGACTTTATGGGTGGATTTTAGGGCAGGACTGAATGTTGGACCTCAGTGATCCTACTATCCTATACGGTCCAGCTCCTAATGCAACCAGTGAATAGAGTGCTTGGTATGTCACTACTTTTGCTTTGAGGACCAGTGTCTCCAGGCATTTGAACATTGGCTGCCTCATGCTTCTTCATCCTAAGAACATATGCCAGTTGGGCTCCTGCCAGTTAAAGGCATTTACTCAGGATAATGGGCTGGCCAGAATGGGCTTCAGGGCCTTTTACCCAGCCCTGGCCACTATTTATTTACCAAGGATGATCCTAACTTTGCCTTTCTTTTCCCTTAACGCAGCAGTGTCCACAGTACTAAATCTCTGCCTGAAGCTGCTGGAACGGTGCTCCATAATAGTCCTTGTTGAACAGACAAGCAATTCACGTATGAAGTTGCCCTCTTTTTTTCTACCCTTTCCCCAAATCTGTTAAAGAGCTTGTGTGTCTGCGAGTCTAGTACCCTCCAGGTCTGTTTGGATAATCTCCTACCCAAGGCACACTCCAAGGTTTCCTGCTCCGTATGATGTTGTACTACCACCATTGAACGTATTTTTGAAGAGAATTCTAAGAAGTTGCCAGAGAAGGCAGGGTGGGTTGTATATCCTTTCTATGAAACTTAAGTACAGGATTTTTAGTGTGTGTGTGTATATGTGAAAGACGGTGATGGATGCATCCGAAGAAGTGGGTATTCACCCATGAAAGCTCATGCTCCAATACGGCTGTTAGTCTATAAGGTGCCACAGGACTCTCTGCTGCTTTTACAGTGATGGATGTTCACCTTATTAGATAACATAAGTCCTGATTGGCTCACAGAATAAACCAGACTTTTCAAATGTGTGGTCAATTTATTTACAGTCACTGCTCACCAGGTTAGGCTAAATTTGTGTAAAATATCAACATGAAGATCATTAAATAAGACTGCATCCATTCTTGTACCTTTAAACATAAGTAAAGGGAAATCTAGTTTAGTCTCTCAAACACCCATCAGACTTCTGCATTGTACTATAACAGACTCAGATAACTGGGAGTCTTCTGTCATTTGCATTAGTGTATTGCCAAATTAAGTGAGGGTTAACCCAATGAAAAGGCTTCTGTAATAGGGTCTTCCACCTGTTTGACTAGATTTAGTTAAACCAGTACAACTTTTCTAATACAGACAAAATCTCAGATACTGTATCAATTTACATGGACATTTTGAAGATTTTCTTTATAACCAGTGGGGCTATAACCAATTTAAAAGAAAAGGAAAAAAAAGCTTGGAGTGTGCAGCAAAGTTCACAGCCACAGAACTGTGCAATAGACTAGGCCCTAGTAACAAGCCTTTTAACCAGTTTCACTTTTTGGTTTTCATGCATTATCCTACTGTACAGCTCCTAGGTTTAGGCTTCAAACACTCCAGCAAAACAAGTGTTTTCATTCATTTATTAGTTCATTTTGAAATCATTTATATTCATATTACATTTTTTAAATTTAATTTTGATGCTAAGATACTGTGCCCATCCCCTGTGTCAGTAGCAAGCACCATCTCTTCTCTACTTTCCTCTAATTAAATAAAAGACATGGAAAGGCAGTGATATACACTTTCACAGCACAAGACTTGTTTGGACAAGTGTTCCTGATGGTTTATTAAATTGCAGTACGATGACACATTTATGAACAGTTCAATGCAGCTAAAGAATTCACAGGGACAATTGTGCTTTCTGCAAATGATTGTTCAACCACTTCTGCATTTTGTGAAAGTATCAGATAAAATGTAGCTTAGAACATGTGATGATGCTCCACCGACAGCTGATAAGTCCATTGACCTGAATAGGAAAGATTGGGTTGTCCGGAGTTGGGAAATGCAGTAATCAGTGTCCTCCTTTCTGTACAATCTGAGCAAAGCGATTAGTGATGGATAACGTGGTATCAATGAATCTGTCCACACAGCTGGCTAGACAGCCTTCTGTTCTGGAGTCCAACTTTGAGCCAGGTTTGTCCACACATTTGTCCCAGCAAACCTCCATGAAGTTATGAACCTAGATGTGAACAGGAAACATGTTAGTTACTACGATTTAATCAAATATTTTACAGATGGGGAAGCTAAAATATGAGAGGGGTACAACGATCACTTGTCTAGGAGTCCTGCCAGAACACCATCCTTTCCCCTTGTGCCTTATCCTTGAAGGGACCATCACCCTCGGAACTGAGAAGTTCAGTCACTGTGGCTGTGTACTTGGTCCTTCTGCTGACACGCAGAAAAGGGTCCATTAATGCCAAAGACAGTGTGATTTCTATGCTGTATGCATCTACTTATTAGGGACTGAACCAAGTCACTGTCTCACATTGCGCCCCCCCCCTCCATTTCCCAAAACGAGTGTCAAGGGATAGGTACAGGGGGCTGCCTTGCTCTCTCTGGGAGGGTTACAAGCAGGGCTTCATCTGTAACGAAAGAGTTGCTGCGGCTCAAGCCATTTTTTTACATTCCTAACGGATGGCGCAAGCCCAGAGGTGCCAGCACCGGGGATAAGTATCTAGGGGGGAGAGGAACCCCTTGGGGGAGGGGTGGCAATAGGGGTCCCAGTGCCTGAGGCTCTGGACCCGTTGGGGCTCCACGAGGCGTGTGCAGGGCGGGCTGGGGGCTGCCCATCGCGGGCCTGGGAGGAAGGTACCTGGGCGGTGAACTGCGCCCGCTGCTGCTCAGCGGCCACCAGCCGCTGCAGCTCGGAGACCGCGGGGTCCCGGTCCCCGTCCGGGCCGCCGAGCTCCTCCATAGGGCAGGCGAGTCCGGCCGCGGTGACCTTCACCGGCGGAACCGGAAGTGAAGGGGCCCGTCCCTCGCGCACGGGGCCAACCCGGCTCCAGCCGCGGGTCTGTTTCCGCTTCCGGGTGCCCTGGTGCCCTTGGGGCCGTGAGGGCGGGGGAGGGTCAGACGGCAAGATGGCGGCGCTGCTGGTGCGGGGGGGCCTGTGGCGGCCCCGAGGCGGGGGGCTGGGTGAGTGTCGGGGGCGCGGGGGGGCTCAGCCCGGCCCCTCCATGGGGCTGCCCTGGGCCAGGGCTGCGGGGTCTGTTCCCAGCTCCGGCGGTGACTCGCGGTGGGGGCCTCGGCAAGGGTGATGCGGGACAACGATAGTGACGACCCCCTTTGCGGCCAGGGGCGGGGGGCAGATACCCGCCTGCCTGGTCCTGAGCGGGTCTGGGGGGGGACCCTCGCAGTCTCTCCCCCCCCCCCAGCTTCTGCCTCCCCACTAACCCCCGTGACTCGCGCTGATCAGAGCCGCCCCCCCCTTGCAGGCTGGCTGTGGGCGGCTGTTGCTTTTTTCCAGTCTCCCCCGCTGCTGTTTATATGGCTTGTTACCCCAAGGCGCTAAGGTGGGTTGGAGCCTCTTGTGCTGGGTGCTGTACAAACGCAGAGCCAGGGATGCTCCCTGCCCCCAGAGAGTTTACAGCCTCTAAACCAGTGGTTCTCAGCCAGGGGTACGCGGAGGTCTTCCAGGGCATAGCTCAACTCCTCTAGATACCCCTCTACCCCAACGTAACGCTCTCCTCCGGAGCCAAAACATCTTACCGCATTATAGGTGAAACCGCATTGTATCAAACTTGCTGTGATCCGCCGGAGTGCGCAGCCCCCCGAAGCACTGCTTTACTGCTTTATATCCAAATTCATGTTATATCGGGGTAGAGGTATATTTGCCTAGTTTTACAACAGGCTACATAAAAAGCACTAGAAAAGTCAGTACAAACTAAAATTTCATACAGATAATGACTTGTTTACACTGCTCTATATACCATACACTGAAATGTTAGTACAATGTTTATATTCCAGTTAATTTATTTGATAAAAATGAGAACATAAGCAAGTTGTCATAGTGTGCAGTGACACTTTTGTATTTTTATGTCTGATTTTGGAAGCAAGTCGTTTTTTAAATGAGGTGAAACAAGACAAATCAGACTCCAGAAGGGCATACAGTAGTCTGGAAAGGTTGAGAGCAACTGCTCTAAGCTATCTGTTAGTTCACCCTTTGTCAACTGTAATTGCGCGGCACTCCACCTGCCTGTGTGAGCTTTAGAGAGGTAGTAAAATAAAACTCATTTGAGGGCCCTTTGTGAAAGGCATAGCACTATTACTGCTTAACTATAGATGTGCAGAATATTTTATTATGTGTCAGCTATGCTAAGCCATTGAATGAGTCAATGCCACAAAGATCTGGCAGCTTAAAGGTGCAAACAAGCATCAGAAAGAACACACCAGACCTACTTTGAAAATCAGATCTTTGAAAATACTGTAGTCCCCCAGAACAGTTTATTGAGCAGGTCTTTTCTAATGTAGCCTGTTTAGCTCATGAAATGAAGGCAAGATTTCCCTAATGCTCACAACATAGCTGCAAAGTTTGTCATGCCAGAGTTGGTGGCTAATGTTCTTGTCTCAGATTCCTTGAAGCACTGTTTTGGGTGCAGCTTGCCTCACTCTTGGAGGCATGGGGCTTTGGATATTAAATCCTTGGTAGGGAAACTCTGAAGCATGTGTACACCAGGCTTGTTAGAAATATTGCAAATAACACATTTACACACACACGCACCAAGGTGTTATTTGTGGGGTATAATTTGTATTCCCTATTCTAACTTTGTGCATCCTTTCTTCTGAAGAAACCACTGGCTTTCCTTTTCAGGAAGCCCTCTGGACTCTTACTGCTTATTGATTAAGATGCTGATTGCTGTAGTTTAACTTCCAGGGATTTACCTTTAAGTTTTGGGGGTGTAAAAGGCAACTAATCAATCTTTGTTCCATTGACAGTTCTTCTCAGTAAAAGTCTGTTGACCAGACCTGTGGTTGCCTGTACAACAACCTTGGATCGGCCAACTCCGGCACATCAAATTCACATCTCTCCCAGGAGCTATGGTATGTTAGTCTAAGTTGGGACAAAAGTTCTGTTGATAACCACTTGGGAAGCTGCTATTCTTTATCTATATTATTGGTTTTATGTGAGATTTGATCCTGACCTTTTCAACCAGCTCAGTCACCCTAGTCATTACAGTGTTTTCTTGGCCCCATGGAGTGATTTGTATGGTCACAGATAAGAAATTGCCTTATCTACTCACTGCACCTAAATCTGAACAAGCTTTTGATTTAAAATCAATTGACATAATTTAAATTGGGAGTTGGACAAGAAAACATCTACAGTATAATTCGATGCTACAGACATTTGCAAATTGCTGTGAGGTTTTTCTCTTGTTTTGAAGGGCATGGAAATTGGTATTGCCTGAAAATTCAGGCAGTCATCTCTATGAACAGGAAATAGTGCTGTTATGGTTTATTAGACCTCACTTTGCACTTTATGGTTTCTGCTGAAAACTTCATGATTCTTTCTGTCAGCCTAAAACTAACTCCTCGGTAATCTCACATGCAATGTCATTTTATTACAGTATGCAGGAAAAGTGTCATTCTAAATCCAGCTTTTTTTTTCCTTAGCATCTTTCTTAAATTGTATATATTGACTGAGTTTCAAACAAACATTCTCAGTTTACTAACAAACATGTTAGTTTTATCAAGTCAATTTCCACAGACATCCACAAGATAGGAAAAGGGAAGATAGATTGAAGAATGGGTGATGCTTTTTATGGCCCTGTCAGATCAATGGTGATTGTTGTAAGCTTGGTGCAGAAATTGTGGCTCCCCTGGTGGACAGGAGCTTCTGGTCCATCTGAGGTCAGGCTAGAAAGATTGAATTGGAGGCAAGATTCATTGCTGGACAAAATTTCCTTTCTCCACGTAGCAGGAATCAGTGGAGAGTGGTGTAAGATAAACAGGCAAAGACCAAAATCCAGGACTGTCATAATGTAGGCCATTAAACCTGAGAAATACTATGACCAGGGATTAATTAGGATTTTATATCCTTTAAACCCAAACTTTTCCTGTCATGACCCCCCCTTACCAGTAATGGAATCTGCCTGTCGTCCCCCCCCTTCCATTACTGCACAGTTGGCTCAGCAGGGGAGCTTGGGCTGAAGGCAGAGCTGGAGGTAGAACTGGGGATGGGGGAGGAGCTGGGGCTAGAGATGGATGTGGTCTATGGGTGGAGAGGGTATGAGGGTAGAGCTGGGCTCAAGCTGAAGCGGGGCTGTGGCTGTGGCTGGATCTGGGCTGGGGATGGAGCGGAGCTGTGGCTGGAGCGGGCTTGTTGGCAGAGTGGAGCTGTAACTGGGGCTGGAGCTGGGCTAGGGGCGGAATGGAGCTGCAGCTGGGGGCGGAGCTAAGCTGGGGGCATATCGGGTCTGGGTGGCGTTCCCCGCCTCCTGTAGGGGTTGGCCTGGGCCCTGTTGTGCACCCCCAAACATTCTTCCGTGCCCCCTGGGGGGCCTGCCCCATAGTTTGGGGACCTCTGTTGTAACGTATGGCAGAAAATAGAAAGAAGAATGCAGACACAAACTAAACAAACCGATAAAAAGTGACATTCAAGCTGTCCCCACTAATTTTCCCCTCCAAGTTTTCTACTTTCTCGTACTATGGAAACTACTCACGCTGTGTTAACAGTTCTTTCCACAGACTATATCTACTTGAAACAACGCGGCCTTGGACAGTCTCAGTATGTAAACAAGTCAAACTCAAAAAAAGTTTGCTACATTTATGTCAAGAAGAAACTTGTTGCATGCTGGAAAATGTTTCTCGAAGTTCATGGTAGTAACGCATTAGTCCACTACAGTTGTTTTGCTGGTGATCTTTTTGTTCCATTGTCACAGCAGTTCTTGTCTAATATCGGTCACCCTGTGCAGAGCAGGAGAAATTCCATGTCTTCTTTTTGGTACAGTTCACATTATATCTCTTTTCCAGCTCATGATTTCAGGTTGATCAAATAGCAGTAAGCATTTAGACAAGTGATCTAATGTGTGTTTAAAATCAGTTCTTTGTAACTTTATGCTGTTAGCACTCTGCTATTGAGTGCCAGTGTATTGTAAGGTGTCCTGCTTCCCTCAGTGTATGTCAACATCTCTTAGAACCATATTTCTTCTAGTGATGTCCAAAATGTATAGGAAAAGTAGGCAAGGTTACAAAGAACCCAAACTACCACTTCTGTGCTTGTCTGAGTCACTTTCTGTGGAAACAGAACTGTGTACTGGTAGTTGTCTATGGAAGAGGACTGACATCATGGGGCCTCTTAGGCTACTTCTAGGCACTGAATATCTGGGGAAGTCCCAGAGGTTCCAGTCCCTACTCTTGTTAAGATAACACCAATCCTAATTCATGCACTCAGCTCTTCATGTAGTTATCACAGAGGAATCGGATACTTAACAGATACAGCACACTGCGTGCATAGGTCTTAAAACATTTCACAAAGAAAGGGGAGGGGTTTCAATATCATTATCCCATATCACAGGTGGAAAACTAAGGCACAAAGAAGGGAGGTGGCTTTCCTTGGGTCACACAGTTGATGGGAGAACTGGAAATAGAACCAATGCATCTTGGTGCCTAGTGTTCTTTCCTCTCCATCCTGTTACGCTGCTTCATTGTTCTTCATCCACTCCTTTCAAACTGTCATGTACTAAGCAGGGCCCTCAGTGATGGTCACAAGGAGGCAGAACTGGCAAGCACTGCATCTGCAGGCAGTTCATGATACACTTAAGCACTAGGGCAACAACCTTTACTATTGTTTTCAAAAATGCCTGTTCTGTGGTGTTTGTGAAAGGGCCTGTTATTGAACAGCAGGCCATGAAACTAACAAAGGTGGCATTTCCTTTGGCCTCATCTATCAGCTTTTTCAGTCTATTGTTGTCTGTATCCTAATTAAAAGAACTTTACTTTCTGAACAACAGAGGGAGCATTCAGAAAAGAGATATTTAAAACAAGCATTTAAGGTGGTATTTAAAATAGGAATATTTAACACAAGAACCTGGGGTAACCCAGTGAAATTAGTAGGCAGCAGGTATCATGAAACAAGAGGAAGTACTTTTTCACGTGATGCACAGCTAACTTGTGAAACTCATTGCCGGGGAAGTTGTGATGGGCAAAAGTATAACAGGGTTCAAAAAAGAATTAGATAAGTTTATGGAGGATAGGTCCATTAATGGCTGGTAGCCAAGATGGCCAGGAATGCAACCCCATGCTCTGTGTCCCCCTAAATCTCTAATTGTCAGAAGCTGGGTCTGGACGACAGGATGGATCACTTGATAATTGCCCTGTTCTGTTCATTCCCTCAGAAGCATTTGGCACTGGCCACTGTCAGAAGACAAGCTACTGCGATAAATAGACCATTGTTCTGACCCAGAATGACCATTCTTCTGTTCTTATGAATATGATTTGTAGCAATAAGTCAAAGGCAACCTGGTTTTGCCCAGCTAAGGGCTGTGTATCTAGGTCTGAGAAAGCACCTAGTTGCACAAAACTGGTCAGAATGAGCTAACCATTGTTCAGACTGGGATATTGTGAGCAGAAACTCTGTGTTGAAAATGCTTTTTTTTTCAGCCGGTTCCAAGGCTGCATCTCTGCACTGGACGAGTGAGCGAGCTGTCAGCGTCCTCTTGCTGGGTCTCTTCCCTGCAGCCTATCTGTATCCTGGACCTGCCATGGACTATTCACTGGCTGCAGCCCTCACACTCCACGGTCACTGGTAAGCGTAGGTGTGAAAACGTCTGGTAGATGTCTCACCAGGACCAGCCAGAGCTACTCTTTGGGCTTATAGTCCTAGGTGCAAAAGGAGCTGAGCAGCAAATCTGTGTGCATCAGGAAGTTCACATTAGAACACCTGGTAAAACACAAGAGCAAAACTCTTATTCCTTGTGTTATTGTGACTGGCATCTTGGCCTGTTATAGCCTTGACCAGACTAACACCAGGTAGGGTCTTTGTCATTTTGCCTCTTCAGTTAGAAGGCAGAGTAGATACTCCTATTAGGGGAGCCTCCTTTCACTCTGTCTCCTGTGTTTATTCCCTTATCCATATCTCATACTTTGCAGACAGTAGGAAATCTACCTAAGAGGGACTATTGGCTTTCTTTGGCTAGTAGGTTATATATGGCCTTCAGATCTGAATGTTTCAGAGTATACCCCTAAAGCAGCATCAGGACAGATCTGTGCTTAAATAAGACCTCTAAGGGAAACTCAGGATTTTATTGGTGGCTCTTTTTCCTCAGAGCCAGTACAGATTCTGGGCGTCAGCTTAGCATTAGGGGGCACTGTATTACTGGAGCTGCCATCTTTTGGGTGAGACAAAAATCAGTCTTGACTACACATGCTTGTTAATCCCCTGGCATTTTTGTGAGAGACAGGATGTTAGTCTTGAATCCTGGCCAGATATCTTTTTGGGTAACTCCACTTTACCTCCCTAAATTCCTTTTTCAGTTTCAGTTGGATACCGTATTTTTCACTTCCTGTGGCTGTATAGCTGTTAAACTGCTGTAAGCTTTCGACCAGAGGATGTTGCATCCATGAGGGTGTGTTTATCTGTAACCTTTCTAAGTCTATGTAGCCCCCATCATTCTAGTAAGTGAGCATTTTCCAAGTACTTTAAAATGGAAATAGCATCACTCTTACTTTTCAGCCTGTAGGACAAATGGTTTGACACTTTATCAGATTTGTCTTTGTATGTGCGAGTGCATGACTCACTGAAGGGAAGCTAGTCAAATAAACCTTTTTGGCATTTAATTCTGATTGTGCTGAGGCTTGTGGTTTCTAGCTGATGTAAGAAATTCTAGGTTAAGCTCCTGTGAAAGTTCTGTTTTCTGCATTCACGAGCCTCTCCTGACTGGCAGGCAAGTAGTTGTCCCTGGAGGTCTCTTAGGTAGCTTTTGCAAGACCAATGGAAGGCTTTGACTGTCAGGACATATTCTGAACTGAATCTCTATTCAGTGAGGAGCCATTGCAGAGAACAGAGCACTGGGATGATGTAGACAGAGACCTGCATTGTTCAG